TTATAGTTGTAAAGTCAGAATCCTTCTTATTTAAACAATTTTTATAAGAATTAGATATTTGAGGTGTACGTTATATCTTTCTTTCAATGATTTCTTTTATAATACACTAGGTGCAAAATATACCGGACACTCAGATTTTTTTGTTTTTTGTTGGTGTTTAGATCTAAACATATTATAACGGCTTCCCACGGTCGGCGATATTACGGACGTAAGCGGACCAGCCTGCACCACGCACCGTGGGAAAGGTCTCGTCCGTGATAGCACAGGCACGTCTGTGCTGGTCCGTCCTATCCATCTAGAGTCGGTAACATCAAAGGTTGCGGTACATGCTCGTGCGACGCGATCCTAGCGCGTCTGTGTTTTAACAGACGACAAGTGCAAGTCAGAAGTTTCTCAATCACTGACACGAGTAGTTGTTTGTAGTGTTGTCAAAGTTGTTTTGCAGTTTTTTTGCTAAAAAATCGAATGAACAAACAAAGTTGAACAAACCGAATAAAAAATCAATTGAAGAATAGTACTATTTCGATTAAAGAATTAAAAAAGAAGAGAGATAATTTAATGCCGACATACAGAAGGCAATGATGTTTACAAGCCTGAGTGACCTTTTTATGATATAATCAAACATTACTGTCACGGACCTACACAGACTGTCACGGAGGACCGTAGGAAGAGCTCTGTCTGCGGTGCGTTATCGTCCGTGGTGATCGGCTATCCGCGATGATCTGTAGAATCGCCGATCGTGGGAAGCCACTTTTAGCGATAACGTTTTTTTCTTGTTTGAACCTAATCAGATGTTTTGTGCGAACAACACCTTTACACAGACATTTTGTTATTACTTAATCCTTTCGCTCATGGCGTACTACATTATAGTACACCGACTAGAAGTTCACTTTTGTAATGCTAAATGAACGATTTATGCTGTGTGGTGCCATCTGCTTAATAGCTGCCATCTGCTTAATAGCTGATTTACCCATTTAGTTAAATGGTAGTCAATAACGATGACTGTAGTTCTAAAAGTTTTAGTACCAGTCTACCAGTTGACAACCTCGTGTCCCAAGAAATAGTTGCTTTCTTTATTTCCTAATTTTCGGATGACATTTTTTGTAGTAAAAAACAATTGAAAGGTAAGTTTTAATTTTTTGTTGAAAGTTTATACTTTGTTTTATTGACTTAAGTATTAATTATTAACCAATACATCTTTTTTATCGTAAACGCAACGTATTTTTAAATGTACTACGGATAGTACATGGTGACATAAGGGATATTTAAGTTGTACTACTACTAGTACAATTTGATTAAAAAAAAAACCTCAGCTACTTACTTTTTTAAATTTTTTTGCAGATATATACTTTTAAAAATGAATAAATATAACAAAAATAAGCCATTGAGTGAAAAAGAACTGTATGAGTTGATAGAGGCTGGATTTTCTGATGTGGAAGAGTTCTGTGATGAGATATTGACGTTCGAAAATCTCCAGAGAGACGACGGAATTATCGGTAAGAACATCAACTAGTTATTTTTGCTTATATAATAAGTTAATTTTAGGTTAATGATGACTATGACTAACAGTCAAGTAAATGATTTGGAGGTAGAATTTTCTGAAAGTATCACTTCGCAAAGCTCAGCATCCCCTGTTGTCAACAACGATGATACTACTTCTCAAGATCTACTAAAAAGCAAACTAGGGCGTAAATAGTTAATGGAGGAGTTTTTGAAGACACATGATTTAACGGAAAAAATCAAAATAACGTGGCGAGAAGATGTAAAATACATAACGCCCACAACTATACAAAGGGCACAAAAAACAGAAGCAAATCTTACACACCTAAAATCATCAATATATTATTTTTATAAATATTTTAATGACACCTTGTTTGATACTATGGTTATATACACAAATCTTTATCACCAGCAAAATAATACACGCTTTGAGAATACAAATATCAACGAACTAAAAAGATTTGTGGGCATTCATATTATTATGGGAAACCTAAGTTATCCTATTGGGACAGCAAACTTTGTGTAAATGTTGTTAAAAATAATATGGCGTACAACAGATTTTCAAAATTACGAACCCATCTACATTTTACTGATGGCAATGAACCAAATGACAATGATAAATTTTGGAAAGTTAGAATTCTTTACGACAAAATACGACAAAGGTGTATTCAATTATCACTTGAAACAAAATTATGTATTGACGAACAAATTATTCCGTTCAAGGGACAGCTAAGACTTAAGCAACATATTAAAGGCAAGCAATGTCCATGGGGTATAAAACTGTATGCCTTGTGTGGAAGTTCTGGTTTACTTTACGACAACGTTTTATATCAAGGTCCTACTACATAACTCAATTCCATTCATCAACAAGTTTTTGGTCAAAGTGCAGCTGTCGTAATAAAACTTACTGAAAGAATAACAAATCCAAACCATCAGCTTTATTTCGATAATTATTTTTCATATTACCAACTATTGCAGTGGCTTCAAAACAGGCATATTTATGCCTCCTGTACTATCAGAGCAGAACATTTTGCAAAACCTCCACTTTTACCAGAACGAGGATTTTCACAAGAAATCATTAGTAATGATGGACAAGTCATAATGGCTAGATGGTTAGATAACAAATGTGTAACCATCGCCTCAAATTTTCAGTCAAAACTTGCAAGAGATGGAGCAAAACAGAAAAACAGTATCTTATGGTGCCTTGACCAGAAGTTATAAAACATTACAATGCCAGTATGGAAGGCGTTGACAAATTACATTTTTTGATTTCTATGTGTAGAACTTTCTTCTTCTTCAAGTTCCACTCCTATCAGAGATTGGAAATCATTCTGGCAATTATAATTTTATTGGTTACTCGCCTGAATAGTTCAATTGAACTGCATCCAAACCATTCACGGAGATTACGTAGCCACGAGATTTTACGTCTTCCTACGCTTCTTCTACGTTTGATTTTACCCTGCATTATGTAGAACTTTAATAAGGTCTAAAAAGTGAACTCTAAGAATGTTTACACATGCTCTTGAATTGTCATGCTGTAACGCATGGCTGGAATATCGAGAAGAAGCAAAGTTCCTCAATATAGCCCAAAAATATACTTTTGACCTATTTCATTTTCGTTTGTATATTGCAGAAGCGATATGAAGTTACGAAGAAGAGCTGGTGAACGTTATCAGCAATGTTGTTTTACTCCGAGAGTTCAATTTGGTGGAGGTGGTATAATGGTGTGGGCAGGCGTTTCCCAAGAGGCTCATACAGAAGTTGTTACAATTCAAGGGGGCAATTTGAACGCTCAACGGTCATGTAGTGCCATTTGCCCCATTTGTTGGAGTAAAGTTTCGTCTGATGCAGAATAATGCTTGTCCGCACATCGTATGAATAACACGGGATTACTTGGATGAAGTTGGAATTCGTTTATTACCATGGCTCCCAAGGAGTGCAGGCCTAAATCCAATAGGGAATGCATGGGATATTCTGGGACGACGTATTCGACGTAACCATGGTGAGTTTGGAACCATGAATGATTTGGAGCAAGCAGTTCGTGACGAATTGGAGCAAATCCCTCAAGCAGACCTTGCTGCTTTATTGCGAAGTATGTCTGATCGAATGAGAGTCGTAATTATTGCTCGTTGAGGTAATACACTCTACTTAATATCGTTTTCGATAAAAAATGTTTATATTTAAAATAAATAATATTTGTTTCTTTGCAAATTTTCAAATTTTTGGAATTGTTTGATTTTCTGTGTAACATTCTTGAGTTGTAAAAAACTTTTCTTTTAAATTTTGTTTATTATTAAATACTCGATTGGGAGCATCTTAAACTTATTTAAACGCCAGTTTTTAGGAAAAATCTGATTGTCCCGTTCATTATGCACCCCAGTGTATCATAGTAATTTTGCTTGTCGCATGCGAGGGGTTAGCGGTTCGGTTCACTCTATAGATCCCTATTGGTCAAAACCCATAATATAAATAGTTATAAATAAAATCGCTTTTACTAACAATTGGAATATTTGTTATTTTGCCATTAATTACCTAAACAAAACATTTTATCAAAATGGGTGTTCTATTCGGGCTTCGTTCCACACGCTTTGCCCATTTTACGGTTGTCATAATCGTCATACCCGTCGCAGTGTGATGGATAAATTTGAATCCACTGGTTCAGGAAACCATCAACCAATAACCGTATGTTGACGAAACATAAAATCTGCCGAAAACATCGTTGGAACTGACCCAGAAGCTGATCAATAAATCCTTTATCTCGTCCAATAAAAGTGATAATCAAATGACCTATACCAATTGAAAATTTTAAACGGGTAGATAATTCAGTAAACATCTGACAAGCATATTTGTAACCTGTTTATCTTTTCTTAGACAATGTCACTGGACCACTGGTTCATCACTTTGTCATCTTTCGTTAAAAATATATTAGAGATACAATAAACTTTGACAGAGAATTCGACAGTCTAACTTACATTCAAATTATAAGAAACTATCAAATTATAGAAACTACAATTCCACGTAATATTGACTTTTCTAATATTATGTTGAAGCAAATATTTTAAATATACTTATATAAAAAAATATTTTTTAAAGAATGTTAAAAATATTTTTAACGAATAATAATTTTCATATTTTCTCAGATCACTACAATAAAAACAAAAAACTTCCGGTACCGGGAATCGAACCCGAGCCTCCTGGGTGAAAGCCAGGTATCCTAGCCACTAGACCATACCGGAGTTGACGATTAAATAAGAATTATGTGTATGTACTGCAGAAATATAGCGAAATTTATACAAATATTTACCTTTTAGATTTCATCTTCTATATCCGTATTTACTATATTTTATTTAATCATAGCAAACCCCATTTAATTATTCACAAACACTAATTTTACAGTCTTCTAAATTAGCACGGTAAATATATGACGTTCATAACACTCAAATTTTGACAGCATAAATGTAGGTTAAATGTTAAATGTTATGAAAATATTTGATACTTACGGCCAAGTTCCCGATCGACTTTGTCTCCTATTAATTTCACTGTCCTCTTCCAAAGATTTGCTTTCGACTAACTCAAATTTGTTGTCTTGATCAAGAGTCTTTTTATTGTGTAAACAGGTCAATCGAAATTCTAACCTATCTGCCATTCTGCACTTCTGTAAAGTGGGTAAATCGGTTTCAGAACCAACCCATAGAGATGCCATTATTTCACAGTTGGTAGCTCAAGAAAATCAATTTGGAGAGACGATTAATTAACCGGTAATTAAAAATTGACCCATTTTTTGAAAGGTAAACGAACACACACCATAGTTTTGAGCAACTTTCGCTATTAAATCAGTCGAAATGTTCCACAAATGGTAGCAATAAGTTTTCTATTTTAAAAATACCGTGAAATAGTAATTTATTTATAGTTGTCAACGTTTTTATGATGCAAAACAGTAATCACTCTTCAGGCGCGATAATTACTTGGCATTCAAAAATTTTCACTATTTTAGACCAGTCCGTGCACACAATTTAAAAAACGTCTAACCTGCCAACCTGTTCACAATTTTTTTCAAAAACGTGATGACATTGGACACATTCTTTTAAAAGGGAAAGTCACATTCACAGTGAATAAAATCATTCTGAAAGCTACTATTGTATGACAAGAAGAGAAAATATAAGAGAATATAAGAAATTGTAAGGTCATACGCCAACAAAATACGTTAGTTGTTATTGAAATTGAAGTAATAAACGTAACATCAAAAGAGGGAACCTTAAAAAATCAAAGAGATTAAAACATGAAAAAAGTTTATTGAGCACAAAAATAGTAGAACAAATGAGCTAGATATTGCCAGCATGTTTTATATCATTTAAATTAACAATAATTGTAAGAAACATTGACAATAAAATAAAAGAAATTATAAAAAAAGAATATATAACTAAATCAGAATAAACAAAGGAGTAACAGGATGTTACATGCTATATGTTGTGATAAATTTTGTTCATGTCAGTGATGCGGTGTAGAACTAGTTCACGTCCGTAGTAGAATACTACAAGTGCACCCTGGGTAACGCTAACTGAACTAGCAAATACTGGTGGTCATGTTACCACCTCCTCTGAAGACAACATACAAACCGTTGTTACAAAAGTCGGCAGCATCACTACCACCAACGTCTATGAACCTCCAGGCAAGCAATGGAATACGCACGTTCTAGAAACTTATCCCCATGCAGCGGTGTATATAGGAGATTTCAATAGTTATCACGAGCAGTATAAATACAGAGAGTAGAAATGGGGATGTCTTAGTAAAATGGACTGAATATGAGCATTTATAATGACATATTTTTGATGCTAAAGACAACAGCACATTTAAATCAGCCGCATGGAACAGGGTGTACAACTCCGGCTTATGTTTCGTATCAAGCGACTGTAACAACGCTCTTCTGGCAGCCACTAGAAGTGTTTTTTCCAGATTTTCCACACAGCCAGCATCACCCAGTAATTGTAGAGCTGGGTATACAAATTCCCCAATTAAGTCAATTCCAAGATCAAGATGAAACTTTGCACGAGCAGACTAGGGGAAGTTCGCATCTGATAAGTGCCTGGCTGGATATCTCCTCTCAGTAAAAGATATGGTCGTTTTGTCGGAGCTGTGATAAGCGCAGCTAAGAAGAGCATACCTAGAGGTTATCGAAAAAATATATCCCGGGATGGTGACAAAATAGTGATATATTATACCAGAACTTTCTTGAAACTGGAGACCAAGAGATAGCAGATGAACTTATTTATAGTTCGAAAGCAACATGACTGCAAAAATAGACTGAGACAGTAGAAAACCTTAACTTTCAAAAATCAAGTCGGAAAACCTGAGCTCTAATAAGGAAACTTGAAGATGGTAAAAGCTTTCAACAATGGAAAGCAGGTATAAACCCAAACTTAGTGGCATCTTATATTGTTTCGGCATCAAGAGCTACCAGAGATAAAGCTCAATTGAAGAAATATATATCGCCCTTAAAGACGTTTCCCCGGGTAAAGCTCCAGATTTCAACGGCATCCACCCCGAATTCACACTCAATTGCGGGAAATATACAAAAACCTGGCTATCATTTTTTTTTCACAAACATTATTCAGACCGGCAGAGTACCACGGGAATTTCAACACTCAAAAGTCATAGCAATACTAAAACGGGGTAAATCAGCTGACCATCCAAAAAGCTATCGACCAATTGCTCTACTGTCTATAATGTATAAAATACTCGAAAGACTAATTTTTAACAGAATAAGCCCAACAATCCTCAAAGTTATATCAATTGAGCAAGCAGGTTATAGACCAAATCGAGGTTGCACAGTCCAGGTGTTACCTCTCTGTACTTACATAGAAGCTGGTTTTCAAAGAAAACTAAAGAGCTCTGCTGTGTTCATAGATCTGTCAGCAGCTTTCGACACCGTCTGGCAAGAAGGAATGATTTATAAACTCTTATGCAATAATCCTTTAAATTCACCGCTAGATTAATAAACAATATGCTCACCGACGGAGTTTTTTAAGTAACTACAGGGTCCGAAGTAAGCACCCACAGAAAATTCAAAAATGGTCTGCCACAAGGCTCGGTACTCGCACCACTGCTTTTTATCCTTTACATCGCAAACATGCCGGTAACAACATCAACAAAGTTTAGCTATGCTGATGACTGGGCTTTATTAACCAAAACAAAGTCACTTCAAGAAGCTGAAGAGATTCTTACGGAAGACCTAGAGATTATGGGAAATTACTTTCAAAAATGGAGACTTTGCCCCAATGCCTCCAAGACCGAAGTAACCTGCTTCCACCTAAACAACAATCTGACGTTAAGAACCCTTAACGTTCACTTTGATAACACACGACTTAACAACAATAAACATCTAAAATATCTAGGCGTGGCCTTGGACAAATGTTAAGCTTTAGAGAACATTTAAGTTCACTTGCCGAGAAGCTAAAAACCAGAAATAACATCATTCAGAAGCTCTACGGCACAACATGTTGGCATCGGCATCCAAACTCAGGTCTTCAGGCTTAGCTCTTGTTTATTCCGTAAATGAATACTGTGTGTCAATATGGATCAACAGTGCTCACATTAAAAAGATAGATGTCCAATTAAATAACACCATGAGAATTATCGCTGGAGTTATCAAATCTACACCAACACATTGGCTACCAGTGCTGAGCGACATTTCACCACCACATCTTCGCTGACTCAATCTGTTTACCAAAGAATATAACAAGATCCTTAGCAACACGGTGCTATCGATTCATATACATACAACTATATAGAAGAGGCAACGAAAAGTCGACTGCACTGCAGAAAATCTTCAATACAAACTGCAGAATCAGCCGCAGCTACAGGGTTCAACATGATCACCAAATGGACCCATGAATGGTCGGCAGCTTAACCAAACACAGCCATACCTTGCATCACAGAAACACTTCCTGGATTTGACCTACCACGTAAACCTGGTGCACACTTAACCGCATCAGAACTCAACATGGTCAATGTGCAGATATGTTGCGCAAATGCGGCAAGCTACCATCACCGTCATGCAGTTGCGGCGAGGTCTAATACATCAAGCACATAACGGAGGAGTGCCACCACACGAGCCTACGAGGGCAGTTTACAAGATTTCCTGTTTGCGACCATCGAGTCGATTAACTATATAAACAACCTCGACGTTTTCCTCTAGGCAAACTGGGCATGATTTAAGTATTTTTATATCGAGTCAATTTAAACGTTTATTGTAATGTTTATTTTTATATTGTATATGTATCGAAATGCAATACGCTAAATAAAATATCAGTGATGAAATAAATTGCCTAAAACATCAAAAGGGGAATATCTTAATAGTATCGTTATCGATAAAGTACAGAACAAAAATGCATCGTTATTAATAACTAAAATAAACTTAGGTACTGTGTTGCAAATTACTTTAATTTAAAAAATAACTATATATAACGGGAGTGTATATTCATTAATTTTGATTAAAAACATTTTATTTGTGAATATTAGTCTATAGATGAATAGATGTTTTATAGATTAACTGTACGTGAATAACTGCCTACTTTAAGGTATAGATAATATTGCCTATAAGCAGGTGTGCATGGTGGCATAGTAACTTACAGACACTCGCAGTCTAAGTCAAAATTTGAAAAGACGAAGTTGACGTTAGACCAGTCCATTTTTTTTAATTGACCAGCCAGAATAAACGCCTGCCTCTCTATCCCTTAATCTTGCCTTGTAGAATCAACTGTAGAAGTCGGTATTTATTATTACGAATAATGTGACCGAAGTCAACCAATTTTCTGTACTTTCCTTGTCTTTTATTTAGCATCTAAAGAATATTTATGTAAGTTGTGGTGTATATATGAGACCCTTTGCATACGTCGGTAGCACTACATTTAAAATGGCTCTAACAGTTTTATCGCATCTTCTGTGAGAGCCCAGTTTTCTACTCTGTAGACGAGGACACTAAGGAAGTCAAATCTAAGAAATCTTATGCGAATATTGATACTTAAAGGTAAGCTGCAGATAATATTCCTAAGAGTAAGACCGTTAAAATATCTTATGGCTTTTCAATACGAGTTCTTATTTCGTAGCTATGATCATAGATATCCTTAAAATATTGCAGCCCAGTTAGCATATTTTCTCTACTCTTTCTAACAGTGTACCTTTTTTTGTAATTTCGGTAGCTATGTTGGTGCTTCAATTAATGATCATTATTTTTGTCTTACAATTTAGTCTGTGTAACATATTTCTACAAAATTATCCATCATTTTTTGGAGCCCTTGCGCAGTATCAGCCAGCAATACGGTATCGTCAGCATGTTTAATATTGTTTACAAGTTGGCTATTTACTGTAGTACCATCTTCTAATTCGTTCATGGCTTTTTTAAATATGTTTTCAGAGTATATGTTAAATAGTATTAGTGACAGTATGCAACCCTGTTTTTGGCTGAAAATCTCGTACAGTTCGTTTTCGAATCCCACTGCTGTTCTTTGTTGGGGATATAAGTTTAAGGTTAGTATTATATCCTTAACCTTGAGTTCGGATGTTTTTAGGGTATTGATTAGTTTTCCATGTGGTACTTTGTCAAATGCCTTCTCGAAATCGATGAAACACGCAAATACATCGTAGTTCCGAGTCCTGCTCCGAGTGAATGTTAGTAAGGAGAATTTTAAGTACACGGCTTATCACACTAATTAATATAAAGCAAAACTAGTTAAAAAAAACTTACGTTTCCTATTAGTAAATTCCTTCCCATTTCTTCTCTAAAAAAGACAAGAGACTATATCCCTCTTATATACAGAGTAAAAGTCACCGATTTTGACATGGACCAATTCAGTCTATCGCTACATACAAATGCACTCTTTTATTCATGGACATCCCACTTACCTAGTAATGACTTCAGACTTACAAAGTATTCTATATCGAGTACAAATTTTACGAT